AAAAAAAAAAAAAAAAAAAAAAAAAAAAAAGAATTATGATCCTAGAGACAGGAAACAAAAGTAAATCTAATCTTGACTTGGAGAACAAGGGTATCTACTCAATGCCCCAGGGCAACACTGTACTTTATAAAATTCCTCCTAACCTTTCCTTTCTATCCCCTCTCTTTCCCTTCTCTCTTCCCCTTCCTTATTCTTCATTAGATAGATGGATTTAGCCTCTCTGCCAAAGTCCTTCTTTCTCCCAGCCTCTCCAGCTCTCCATCTCCTTCTCGCTCTAACCAGTACCCTCACCCCCTCATTTTGATTCTGCATCACAAAAGATGCTGACTGGGGATGGCTGAGAGCAGACTCTCTGAGCTGGGAGTGGGCATGAATTCTGAGCTGGAACCCTTTTGTGGATGGGTAAGAGGAAAGGAAACAGGGAGAAACACTCACACTAACAAAGCTTATTTCCATCACATGTATTTTCTGCAATGAGCATGAATCACATATGGTGGAATAAAAAATAAATGAATAAAATGTTTTAAAAATAAGAGATGGTAGGGAAGGAAGTGAGCACTATTCTTTCTCACTTTCCAGTTCTCCTTCTTCTCCATACAGATTGCTACATCCTTGGCTTTCTGTTCCAGGGAAAGTGAAGTGGAACCTTTCCTCTGACTCAGGATTTCAAGTGTTTCCCACCCCCTCAGGCCTGCAGCGGGGGTGGGAGCCATGGAGTCATGCTCCTGTAACCATGCAGAGGAGCTCTGGGAGCTCTGGGAGCCAGAGCTAAAGGCTCTGGCTAAAGGCCTTCAATGATAGATGAGAAGTCTCCCTAATTAAAACTGCTGGGCTTGGCCAGACGCTGTGGCTCATGCCTGTAATCCCAGCAGTTTGGGAGGCCAAGGTGGGTGGATCACTTGAGGTCAGGAGTTTGAGACCAGCCTGACCAACATGGTAGAACCCTGTCTCTACTAAAAATACAAAAATTAGTCAGGCATGGTGGCACACGCCTGTACTCCCAGCTACTTGGGAGGTTGAGGCAGGAGAATCTCTTGAACCTGGGAGGCGGAGTTTGCAGTGAGCCGAGATGGTGCCACTGTACTCTAGCCTGGGAAAACCCAAAACTGATGGGCTCAGCTGGATGCAGTGGCTCGTGCCTGTAATTCCCACACTTTGGGAGGCCAAGGAGGGTGGATCACTTGCGGTCAGGAGTTCGAGACCAGCCTGGCCAACATGGTGAAACTCCATCTCTACTGAAAATACAGAAGTTAGCCTGGTGTGGTGGTGCGTGCCTGTAGTCCCAGCTACTCAGGAGGCTAAGGCAGGAGAATCTGGGAGGCGGAGGTGGCAATGAGTCAAGATGGTGCCACTGCACTCCAGGCTGGGTGATAGAGCAAAACACGGACTCAAAAACAAAAACAAAAACTGCTGGGCTCTCCAGCCTCTTCTCCAAGAAGCACTTCCCTGAGTCATCAGATATCCCAAGGCTGTACAATTTAGACGTCTTGGTCTCTCAGGAAAATTTCAAGGCTTGGGAAGGGTAGTGGAGGCCTCTCAAGTCTCCTCCTACTTCTGGAGCCTGGGATGGGAGAGAGAAGCCAGTTGACAGCCAGAGTCTCAAGACCCAGGTCCCCGTATCACCCATGCCTATCTGTCCATGACCCATACATGCTCCAGTGGCAAGTGTGAACAAAACAAAATGAACAGCAGCCAAGTTTTCACCTGTGTGTGGAGCACTAGGGAAATGTAGGTGTGGGCATATTTTTGTGGTCTCAGCCTATCTGAGAAGGAGCCCTAGGGGCGGTGAAGAAGCCTTGGTGAGTCAGGAGACAGCAGGGCAAAGATGACAAGCACACGTGCTCCGGAGTTACACAGACCCAAATTCTGAGCCCTTGCTCTACCACTTACATACTTCATGATCACAGGCAAGTTCCCTACTTCTCTGAACCTCAGTTTTCACCTGTAGAAAATGGGCGTAATTCCCATTCGAGTAGGTATTTAAAAATTTTTAAAGAATTAAAGTTAAAAAAAAGCGCAAAATAAAATCATTGTAATGGTTTCATCTCATTGGTTTATGACGTTAAATGAGGCAATGTCTACAACAAAGTGCTGGGCCAACTCACTCTCTTTTTTTTTTTTTTTTT